TTGTTTAATTAATTTCAAGTTATTAAGATCTATACAATGTTCTTTATCAACAATATGTTCGGCAACGCAAGATTTATCCGGTCTACCATATCTTATCTGAGCCAAATGTTCTTTAAATCTAGTTAATATTGACCTTCTAGTTTGCCCAACATATTTCTGATTACAATCTTTACAAGAAATTTCAATGTAATTTCAGATAAATCAATAATTAATATACTGCAGAAGCCACATCAAGTTAATAGTACGTGATCAAAGACAAAACTATGTTCAGTAATGATTCATTTTCTATTGTAACTCCAGTACAATAAATATGAGCAAGGGTATTATTAATAGCGTCAGATATTAGCAGAGAGGAAGCCATATCAGTACAAGAAGTATTACTCTTTTTAAGTATGTTTTTTTTAGAGAGAAGAGGATAAGAAAGAAGTAGGATAAGAGAGAAGAAATCAGTAAATTTCGCTTGCAATCCGGAGCCTCGCAGTGACATACTATGTGCTCTGCTGTCTCAGGATCTTTATCGCAGAGCCTGTAGTAAAGACTTCTTTGATACACGTTGAGCTTGTCCAGGTAGCACTTGACAGCTATATGGTCTGTCAAAAGACGTGTTGTAATACGCAATTTATTCCTGTAGTTTAAGAATTAGATTCTTGGATAAAGGCCTTGCTATGCCTGTGTCCCTGTCTGTTTCTCCAGTGGACTGCCTTTCCCTGTTCCAGTTTTGCTCCCCTACGGGTTATACATTTGGATACTCCCAATACTGGCTCTGGATCGGATACCGATAATCCTTGCCTTGCTAAACTAGCTCTGTGCTGTGGCCCTGCACTCTGAATAAATTAATTCTTCATTCTTCCCTTTCTTATAACAACTTTGCATAAACTAATATTTCTTAGAAAGCGTAGGATGCACTGCAAACATTAACTTTGCATATGTACTTTTAGCATCATGTACTTTTTCCTTTCATTAAGATATTAAATATTATAGACAAGTGTGAATTGAAAAAGATATTTTCTTGTATGTTTCTAAATATTCCTTAATAAAAACACAGTCTTTCATGTAACTTGTCATCTGCAACAACGTTTTAGTACAACTTTAATTGCCGCCTAAACCAACAGAGACGCAATAAATAAATTTAATGTAGGTTTTTCAAACAACCTAGAACGTCGATTTAACATCCATAGCCTAAAAAGAAAAACAAATAATTTCAGGGTGGCCGGCCCGTGATGAAGACGAAAAGAATTGTACAACGAGCTCATTTCTAGGAAGACTTCTTAAAGTCAGTATTTATTTCATCCGTTAATAGATGTTTAGGTTTTACTCTTATTTAACACTGATATATGAAATAAAAACAATAAACAAACAATATTTTTTAACCACAGAACCATATCGACTTATACCAAGTAACAGAACATCAAGTCTGTTCAATAAGCCAGGTAATATTTCTTTCAGACAAAAAAATTACGAAAAATACAATTTACCCCAAGTAGCATTTTTAGACACACAAAATCGAAACAAAATCTCTGCTGGGAAACACTGCGAAGCAGTTTCGAAACAATGATGGTGTTACTGAAATTAATTCAACACAGTTTTGATACATATGTTTCGAAACATAAATCGCTTTTTGTTTCGAAACATTTCACCAAAATATGGTTTCGCTACATAAGCTATAACAATAAAGATTTTAGTGTAACAAATTTTTCGAAACTTTTAAGAAACAGACGTGGCTCACATTTACAAAGGTTTCGTACCCGTTTTGTGCCTGAAAAATTTCCATAATTTATTTGATATTCTGTCAAATTAGAGAACATAATCCTTACCTTGTTGTTTGGATTTTGTTCTGCAGTTTTTTCAAAATGGGGAAGACTTAACAATTTAAGCATTTTTCAAGTTTTTATAGTATAATTGAAAAAGCAGAAGAAATGGCATCCAGGTGCGTCTCAAAAGTGACTCACCCCTATAACATTTTTATTTTTTCAGTTAAAAACGAGATTTGGTATGTATATGACAAATTAGAATTGATTGACGTATTCAGTTGTTTTTGGTCACTCCCTGTTTCACCGGAAATGACTACAAGTTTTGATTTTTAAATGGCATCCTCGGTATTTTTTACTTTATTCGATAGAAAATGACACTCTGGATAGAATGACGTTTAATATGTCAACTTTTGACATTTTCACATATGGTCGAAGAACCTGATAACTGTCAGCCGTCCAGTGCTTTCCTGTAAAATTAGTAAAATGGCGCTTATCATGTTTTTCCTCTTGACCTTTTCAATTGACATCAGATGAACATATATTCTTATTTAACTTCTTTTTTTTATTATCTTCACAAAACAACATTATTATTACAAGTAACACTCTGTCTACCATTTATAAACGTCCAGTTAAATAGGAAGAGACAAAAAATCCAAGACCAAATTCGCCCACCTTGACCTTTCCGAAGCCTTTAAAACTTAAGTACCTACGACTTTATCGATACACTGGAACCACTAATTACAGTTAAAGATCGACGATAATGAAATCACATTTCCAAAGGCTCGCCATCTCCTCGTTCAAAATAGAAACCAGCAGCGGCGTCTAACAGAGAAAAAATTACGTCACTTCGCACATTACAGGTGATTGTCTAATACCAATAATAATAATTGTTCGCGCGACCTTGATTTTAAGTGAAATATCATTAGTTCAATTAGTATATATAGGTATCTGCGTGTGTTCAGAGTTTTTTTTTCAATCAGTTCGACTATAGTGTCACTAGATTGAAAATTTGAAAGGATTATGTTAATAGGTCGATTATGCGTAGAAAATTCTTGACTGGCGATTTTTTTTTCTTGTGCGTGCATAGTTGTACACGTGCTGTTCGATTTCCTTTTGAAGGTTTGAAGGTTTTTCGGATCTCTCAGATGGTGTATGTCCTCGTATTGTAGCACAATCGTGAACATTGTTGTTCATGTAAGATTGCAATCTAACAATTCTGTTATAAAAATGTGTATTTTTATACCTTCCCCGAGATTGTTTCTGTGCTAAAAATAGTTTGTGTTCAAATGGTAACAGAAATGTAAAAAAGATAAATGTAATTGAGAATAAACTGTCAAAAACATAAAATGTAAAAGATGCCAATTCTCACAAAACGCAGTTCTCTCTTAACTTTGGTATAAATTATATTTTATAATAAGTCTTATTGTCAAAGTGGTTATATGGTTATAAAATTGGCGGCTAAAAGCTAATGAAACTGTCAAATCAAAGCCAAATCAGTCAATGTCACTTCCACCCTGAGACAGGAAACCTACCCAGAAGTAGAACTAACCCAAATAATATATGGAACAAAAGACAAGCACTTGATCAACAGTTAAGGAAACTGATGACAATAAAATGTAAAAAAGGGCGGGTAAACACCTTTGTTTATTTGTTGGCAAAATTCCTTTAGAATATCGTATATAATGACCAAAATATGACGCAATTTTAGGAAAAAAAATATCACTTTCTGACTTATAATAAAGTTTCAAATGCAACGTTTATATTCAAATTTCTTATGATCTACAACAGTTATTTAGTAATTGAGACGAATTATAATTCAATTACCGGCTACTACGTTCTTGTTTTAATAGCTCAAAATTCAACAAATATAATTAGAAATTATTTTAATTGTGAGAGGTTCTCTTGTGGGACGCCTATGTACGGCGATTACGGCGCGGCGGAAACAATACCTACCTGTAAAAAGACAAATTCGGGTAATTTGAGCTTATTTTTCCACACATTTCACACTGTCGTACCATATTGAAAATTCGCAGATTCAAAAGTACGTTAAACAAAAGCAAAAACTACTAAAAAACACTGGAAAGTTCACTTCGGACTTGATTCCAACTTCAAACACACCGTAAGCTAAACGTAGTACGCTATAACGGACCAAGGGCCGTCGCGAGGGGTGGTGGGACGGACGGCTCATGTCATTCTGGAAGACTAGCAGCGACGTTGCCAATAGTTCTAGACGTTTCAGCACATTAAACAGTAAACATGTCCTTTAATAGTAACGCATATATCCTCTGGTTAATAACCATATTATTACGCATGCTTCTTTAAAAATAAACTATTAATTTAATCAGAAACTATTCGACACAGAGTTTACCAAAAATGCTTTTATAACTACTAATTGGGTAAATGAATTTATAGATATATTACGACATTTCTTGGAACTTTGGTTTCGAGGATATAAATTTAATCGGACCTTTTAAAAATTAATTTTATTTTCAGAGACTATTTGAGATAGGTTACCAAAATGCTTTTTTATATATCTACTGGTGGGTAAATGAATTTCTAGATTATATTACAACATTTCTTGGAACTTTAGTTTCGGAGATATTAATATAATCGGACTTTTTTAAAAAATTAATTTTTATTTTTCAGAAACTGTTTGACACAGAGTTTACCAAAATGCTTTTATAACTACTAATTGGGTAAATGAATTTATAGATATATTACGAATCTTTTGGAACTTTAGTTTCGGAATATTAATTTAATCGGACCTTTTTTAAAAAAATTAATTTTATTTACTTTCAGAAACTATTTGAGACAGAGTTTACCAAAATGCTTTTGAAACCACTAATTTATTCCACTAATTGCGAGTTTCTGAACGAAGGTCTACAATAATAATAATTACAAAAAGGCAAGGTTAATTTTCTAATCCTACGTTTTGAATTCGAGAGGCCAACAGCAATTTTTTGGGTTGATGATTATGTATTGGGGATGAACAACGAACCAAGACTTTCTTGGTTTTGCATTTGCTTATCACTACTGCTGTTATTGATTGTTTTAAAGGTTTATTTATATCTTTACATTTGGTCTTTTTAATGATATTTTGTGTATAAATCAATATTATTTCTGAAATAATTGAATAATTGAATTGTGTTGTATGAGAAAGAGGAGGAATGCAATTTATTATTATTTTTTACATTTGTATTACTGTTTGGTGTGTTTGGTCCTCTGCAACTTATATTTATCCCACTTCAGGAACGACGCACTACCCCAGGCGAAGCACTGAACCATCCTTTCGTCCGATTGGCTCACCTGATCGACTATGCGCACTGCAACAACGTCAAAGCCAGCGTCCAAATGATGGAGGTAAATATTTATCAACACTGTAGCGTTTTCTTAGTACATACTAAAAGAAAAAAATACTTGTATTATGAACTCACCCTTGACTTAGAAAACGCAATGTTTTATCATAGTATAAGGACACTAGTAGCTTTACTCCTTGTCAGATCCTTTGTTCTTTTTCTGCCACTTTATATGACCTTGTTCTCGCATCCCGTGACCACTGACGTAGCTGTATAGTCGTGGTCTATAACTAGGCAAAGTATTGTCGTGACACTCGCCATAGTTTCACAGAGATGTATTTAGGAAAATATGAGTTTACAATAAAATAAAATAAAAAAAATTGATCTTCGAGTGAAAATTTGTTTGAAAACAGAATATTTTCACATTTCGTGTAAGTAATAATTATTCTTCTGTATCTGCAAATCTTCTGATGGGAAGAAATGCGGAAAAAATATATAATAACATATTTTTATATTATTATCTATTTAAAAGATTTTTTTAAATTTAAAACAAGTTTAATTTTAACATTAATTTGTTTGTTTTGTAGTAATATATTGGTTAGGTGATTTTCATTGGATAACTAATACATTGTACTAAATAATAAAATAGTATATTTAAACTTCAATAATTTCAATAAACATTACAGAAATTTCAAAAGAGAAAAGAAGCAAGAACAATGGGAAGTAGCATCAATACTTTCTCACGTAATAAAAGTATAATTTTTTAGTTATTGTTACCGAGTCCCGAAGGTACCAAAAGAACCGGGAATTAATAATTTCGAGTCCCGGTTCTTTGATATCTCAAAAGAACCGGGAATTTCCGGTTCTGAACTCTAGTTACCATCTTATCAAGAAATTATGTTTTTTAACTAAAAACTAAAAAAAAATCCAGATTCTTTTTCAAAGAAAATAGGGCAGAAAAATTCTCATTTCTGGGACCAAAATATACTACCCCTAAAAATATTTGCTCTTTATGGTTATGGTACGTTATAGCGTTTCCGGAACCGGAGCTGTTTTTCGGAACCGGTAATTTCGGTGCCATAATTTCGGTGCCATGCCATTCTAAGGAACCGGGATGTCCAGTTTTTTTTCGGTACTTTCGTTACTAAGAAATTTTTGTCCAATGATGGTGCAGTTCGTTAAACATCAAGCAAGGGATGGTTGTCAAAAGTAAAGTCGATAAAAAATTGAGGTTTAAATGAAAATATCAAATTATTAAGTAGTAATCAATCATGAGAAAATTAACCTCAACACAAACATGATCTCAAATGACTCTCAAAAAAAACTCAAAGCACAATTTTTTGATTTATTACTACAACTAATAGCAACACACAGTAAGGCACTCATTTTTTGTCAATCCGTCTCTGTGCTGGGATGCAACGCTCGAACCTCGCAGGTCGACGGCTCTGCAATCTGCCGATATTCGACAGATTGTTAAATCTGGTAGAAAATATTTGGCAGAGTGCAACTACTTTTCTTCTTCTACTATGGTTTTATGGTAAATATTTGAGATTTTACTATTTTTCTTTGCTAGGTTTGTCGTCGCAACGACTACAGCACATCTTCGGCCGCTTCCCACCACCAACCAGCTCAACAGGCGCCATCTTTGGTCGCTAACTTTGTACCAAACTCTAATGGTAACGTGACGTTTACCATAAACAATCAACTGACCAACCAAGTGCAGAGGCTAGTGAGGGATAGGTCTGGATATGACAACTTGGTAAGTTGTTGATTATTTTTTTGTATTTTGGGGTGTTTTTTCTGATTGGTTTTTTTATTTTAGTACCAGATTTACAATGGAAGAACTGTTGGACGTCAGTACGCAACCAGCGCTAGAGCAGATCCGTTCCAGCATCAATTGGTGTCCAGTATACTCTGTCCAGCAGGTAAAAAAATAATTATTTTAAACAGAAAAAAATATGGTAATCGCAAAAGAATTTACAAAGCACGTGATCAACTTTGAGTGACAAGCGATGGTGACAGCGCTGCCAGATTGTAATGGATTTATGAGACGAATCTTAAAAGTGACACAATATATTTATTATATCATTTTTTAAAGATTTTTACGTTTTATTTTTAATTTATAATAATAAATAATATTTTAGTAATTAATTGATTTATTTGTTTTATAGCTTATTTTACTTATTACATATTGGCAAAAACTACTCCATTATGAAGATTATTCTAAGCATTATTATGGGTTATTTATTTATTTATTGATGTATAATCTACAACGCCATAAGTGGTAATCACAGTACACAACAGTCACAACAAGTAAGAGGGTGCTATTAATGCACAAATTAATAATCACAGAATTTAATAAAAACTAACGCAGAAATAACTTCGAAAGTGGTGTAATGTGCTTATCAATCAAACTTACTTCTCTGACTGCAGTCAAGAGTAATAATAAAGAACCTTTATTGTCACATTCTCGTTCAAATTAATTAATCGGGGAAGCTATAAGCTCTTTGCTTCGACTAACACACAATTTCAAGAAATACAATACAAAAACCCGAAAATTTAGTTCTTAAAAGAACTGTGTGTGCTTAAAAGTACAATTTAAAAAAAAAGACTATGAAAATAGGCAAAAAACGAGAATTACTCACAAAGATTCAACAACACGATATTATGCAAAACAATGCAATCAAAACATTATGATAATTCTCAAACAGTGCCGGATTTACCAAATTTCCGCCTTACGTCACTTAAAAAATGCCGCCCTTATATTCGCTATAACAACAAAAATTTGCCGGGATTTAATGGCAGCAAACGAATCAATAATTTTGTCAAAATTTATACTTGTAGTTAAATCTGATTCTATTGTTAATAATGTTAAGGAATTTAAACGATCTTGTTCCATAGTGGCCCTTAAATAGGATTTTAATCGTTTAAGTGTGGAAAATGACCGTTCCACTGAGCACACTGTAACCGCCGCGCCATGGATACATATATCTGTAAAGCAATTTCCATATTTGGAAAAACTGCTTCCAAATTATGAGTTCGAATATATTAAAGCATGTTTGACAGTGTGCATTGAATATCGGTCTCTTTTACTACTACACTACTACTTTTACTACTTACTTATAAAAAATGTAAGCATTCTGTTGTAAAAGCTTTGTTTTTTCTTTATTGTTTTTCGTGGTTCCAATTTTCGGAATCGGGCACTAGTTAGGTTACTAGTTTGCGCACATAGCACGCCCACTTATGGCCTCTAAAATTGTGCACAGCGCCTGCCCGGTACAGTTATTAGAGAGATATCGGAAAACCGAATAGCGTCATGCAGTATTTACGCGTACCTTATCATGGCAAAATAAAAACACTAAATCACCACAATACACCAAAACACTTTTACTTTTACACTGGACGCGCGTTTCGCTAAACTGAGTTTAGTTTATAATCATCTGCTGACGATGCTAACAAGTGTTTTGGTGTATCGTGGTGATTTAGTGTTTTTATTTTGCTGTGTAACACCAAAGGTTCCAACCCTCAACTGTAATTTACCTTATCATGGTTACGACAAAGACTACACGTTACGATATGAGCGAGTCAATTTTTAAATAAATGATTTTTTCTAGTATTAAGACAAAGCATAATGTATTTTACAAACTTACCGGTAACAGTTTTTTTTATAATAAAATATTTAGGAATTATTTGGGTTGTTTATCAATATATTAATGACTTGAATTTTGACAAATTGAATTTGTATCAAAATAATTTTACGAAATATAAAATTGATGTTCTATTACAAGATTGAGTTTTTATTGTCAACAAAAACCAGGATAAATACTAATAATAATACCCTTAATAAAATCAATGATGTTTATGTATTATGAAAATATTTGTTAAAGGACATGTTATGTAACAGTTTTTGTAACACAATTTGAAGGGACGAATAAAAAAAATAAAACAAAAACATATTTTTTCTAGGTTTATATTAAAAATACAAGGTATGTAATCATCAAAAATAATTACGAACCAAATGTTTTTTATGAATATACAACTTGAACAAAAAGTTGTTTAGAACAATTTTGAATTTTTACCAAATTTGCAAAAATTTTAAATTGAAACGCGTAATTCAGTACAAGTAAACATGAAATATTGTAAATACTTATTTAATATCATTTCGAGTGTTTAACGACGAAAAGGTCATCTGTCCGTAGCGTCTTTTGTCAGAATATTCGTATAATATTTAGTGTATTATATACCAATATTGTACGCAGTTTTGAAACTGATAATTAAATAAATCATATTAATGTTAACTAAACATAATAAATGATAGAATTTCACTAAATTTAAATTGCCCCCCGTATGGTTGAAAACAGCAAATTGATATTTGATTACTTATAGATTACCACCTATATACAAAATGACACGAAGACCTGGAATATGGCGTCCAACTTGATTAGACCTTCTGCGCATGTTGACGCTCATTCTCTATCCCTTCTATTTCTCTGGTTTTAATTCGTTTGAGACATGAAAAGTTTCGTTCGGCAGATACACTCGTTGCAGGAATAGTTAAAACTAAGCTAAAAAGCTTATATACTTCGGCAAAAATTGTCTTAAACACCCGCTAATAACGTTACCGCCTGACGTAATTTGCGGATCAATTACACCAAGCGCTATTTCTAAATAACGTTTAAAAATTGCTTAAATGGGCATGTGCGGGTATTTGACAACCGGGGCCGGCCGCGCCGGCGAGATCTTTTATTTTAGGTTATGTTTGAATTGTTTTGAATTATTACTTGAATTTTATTAGGTAATTTGATGTTTAAGTAGCTGGGATTAGTTTTAATTAAATAAATATGGCCCTAAATATGGATTCCACCTCTTCCAATATTAAAGAATCTATAAAGAGGCTTAGGTTTACAGCAGATGACGACTTAGCCCTTCTAAGAGAATTTGTTGCTTGTTGCCCTAAACCCACTGGCAGACGGTGAACAATAAAGCACTGGAAATAAGCACTTTAGCCCTTTAGTTTTAAAATACCTAATAAACAAAACAATTTCAAAGTTTTAAATTCAAAGTTAGGTTAAGTTTAAATAGCGGACGCGACGCGAACAGAATTCTTTCCGATCCGATAACTATAAATGAAGAGAGTTAATACCACCTCACGTAAAGGAAATAACACCTGGTCTTATTAACGTCCATGCACGCTATTCGGTTTAGCGATATCTCTCTATTACCCTGTTTATTGTTATTTTACGCGAGTTTATTTTTGAGCACAGGAAATTTTACTCGTTTGCACATCGTCATAAAAAACAATTTTCGTACCACGAATTAGGGACAAGATTTTTATCTGTATACTTATAGGATACCCAATATGTGGTAGTACTTTGTTGGTTTTATAGAATCGCTCTAATATGTTTTCCCAAAAAACTGACGTAAAGGCAGTTTCGAATCGGTTTAGGCGATATTTAATCCCAGTTGCCTTCGCTCGAACTGCTGGTTTTCATTATTTTTTGACAACTTGTCGCAATTTATAAGTCGCCCCTAAAATTTTGCCGCTTTACGCCTGGGCGTATTGTGCGTAATGGGAAATACGACACTGTTGTCAAATAGTAAACGACAACCTTGCTGAAAACGGCGCAATGTAACCAACATAGCGATAATAAAATTCGGTTTAAACTAATTTTTGCAGCTTTAATGTAAATAAAATATCTGTTACAATCATGTGCTCTATAAAGTAAAATGAAGAGCTGCTCGGTATCTTAAATCATACAACAAATTTAAACATTTTTGTCAAAATTTCATTTAGTCAGGTTTATAGACTTTAGTGTCAATATCGATATGATTGATGACGTGCATCGGAAAATGTTTTGCGATTACAATATACAAATATTTATTATTTATTATACTTTGCTCCGACTTCCATTTTCTAATAATGCTTTAACAATAAAAAAAATATATTTTTAAGTATATTCTATATACAGAGTGCAAAAAAATAGTGTAACAAACTAACAAGTGAGTGATACTACAAATAAAAATAAAATTACTGTTTCAAGGGGTCCTAATTTCCTTGAGAAGCATGGTAGGGTATATGTTCACCAAAACTTTTTGTTTTATTTTTATCTATAGAATCACCCACAGAAGTTTGGTACACTTTTTTTACACCCTATATACATGGTGTCATAAAATTCGCAATTCCTTTTTTTGAAATTATTGAGTCAAAAATATACTCTATTCTTTCCCGTACTTTATTTTGCACTGACTTTTAGGTTACCAAGGAATGGGCGGTTCCCCTGCCAAGCACGTGACCGTAGTGCAGCAACCCCCTCTACAGATACAACCTCCCATTTTGAGCCAACCCGGCCAACAACAGTATGTTCCTGTCAGCGTGGTTGAGCCGACTGGACGACAAATGTTGTTAACTGTAAGCACATAATAATTTAAAAGTACAAAAAATGTTTATATTAACTCTTTTTAATTTTTTAGAACCCGTCCTCTCACCATTCTTCTCCAAACCGCCAACACGATGGCTATAGTGTCCTCACACCTTCACCGGCCACAGCACGTAGCGATGACACGCAGGCCTTTTACTTTCAGAAGCTGAATGGGGTAGACCTCTTTTGGTAGATTCGTCAGCTATATTACAGGTAACATTTTTAATTCAGTAGTAGTTCAAATGACTCACATCGATATTAATATCAGTAGTAGTTGTCATGTTAATACTGAAATAAACATACTAAGAGAGGTTATATCAAAAATCTTAGATTCCACCGGGATTGTGAGTCCTCAAATATGGCCAACTTAAATTCCCGGTCTCTACCTCATAGCTGCCGTTCTAATTTTATTTTAAAAAGTTAAATATATTAATATGTAGACGTGGGGTAGACTCTATAATTTATTGTTTCATTTCACACCCTTAGAAAGCGAATTTCCAAAAATATACAAAAAAAAAAATAAATCCAATATATTTTAATAATACTAGTATAATAGTTTTATAATAGATTACTTATTAACAGCGCGAGAGAGCGCGGCGCGCGCGCGAGTAGCGACACACCCTGAATGCGGCTGAGAGCGCCGTGTGTGGGTTTAAGTTAAATTGACGTATTTAAATTTGTCCAACGACAAGATCCTTTGACAGTGATAGATGTTGTCTATCATTTTTAATTTCAGTAGTTTACTTATGTTTACCAAGTGTGTTTGGTTACAACTGGAATGCATAGCAGAAAATAATATATTAAAACTCGTTGGACTCTCAATATTGATGTACTTCAAAATATTGCGAAAAAAAAAAAAAAAAAAAAAAAAAAAAAAAAAAAAAAAAAAAAATTATATTATAAAAAAAAAAACGGTATGTGTTTTAATACGAAACAAACAAAAACAAAAAAAAAAAAAAAAAAAAAAAAATACACAAAAAATATAGAAAATAAAAAAAAAATTCTTACTTTCAAGCTTCAAAAAAACTTCCCGTATTTGTTATCATATTTATCAATATAAATGAAATACAGAAGGTACTTTACATCATATAGATACCTCCTCTAGAATAAACTAAAACAAACCTTTATTAGTAATAACATTTAACAGAGTTTATGTCTATAAGTTGGTTAATTTAACTTTAATCTTAATTTTTTTAAATCTAGTACCTTTTTTCTGGCGAGTTACTAAATTCGTGTGTGTGTGTCGGTCGATAGGTGTGTGCAGTACCGATATGATTTAGTACATCCCTTGTATCCATATTACGAGATGTGTACTTACTACGACGAATTGGTTATACAAAACATAATATGATTGGTAGACTTTATTGGTGTATAAGACTGTCTGCCTGGGCAGCGGAGTATTAACTATAAACTGTTGTCTGGCGTCTACAGTTTAATTTTCCTCGATGTTTTCCTCCACTTGACTCAAAAGACACAAAACACACGGAATAACACGAATCAAAATTGCATAATCTTTCAAAACGCAGATATTTGACATAATGTTTGACACCAACAAAATTAATAACCTATTAATTTGCAAGAGCTTTACAAGCCGCAAAAAATCTAAAGGCGAGTCCATACGCATCGGCGTCCGATTTGTCGTTTAGCGTTTCGTCAAACCAATAAAATGAAATATATAAAAAAAAAAAATTTGAAAATACAATAAAAACTAGTTAAAATCACAGAGACGACGCATGACGGATTATGTATTTTTAACCATCCATAGTTATATAAATTAAAAAATATAGAAACTTTTTTTAGTAAAATAATATAGATTGGTAGTGTGACTGTGCTGCTTTCTCTGTGTGAAATACTCGAGAATAAAAAAACAAGTATTTTAAAAAAAAAAAAATTTTAAATTTTATTCAAAGTATCAATAGTAATTTAATAAATAGTTCCAATGACATATAAATATTAATCCCTCAACACAAAGCTAAAGAGGTGTCTGGGACAGGCGGCCCGGCGAGGGGGATGGGGGGGCGGGGCGGGGTGTCGGGGGGGTGAGTGGGGCTATTCTATATCACACCATACTTCTTATAATCTCAGCGTCCTCCATCTTTTCAGTTAAAATAGTATTTAATATTTATAATTGAATTACAAATTAATTTAATGAACGATTGCTGTAGGTATTTTACCATTGTTTATATCCGTTGTTAACAGGAACAGAGACCAGTATTTCCGGTAGATGTCACCACTGAAGTTTTTAATCCCGCGCTAGTTGAACATACTGGCTCGTGGAGTACCAGCAAACGTAGTTCCAGACCTCATCACGCTCAGCAACCCGCTCCGCATCATAGACCTCATTTAATTGGAAATAATTAACTATGTCTATAGAAAATCAATAAGTTGCGTAACTTCATCAAAAATTACGATCACTTCGAAGTTCACACAATTTACCCTTTGACTTACCAAGTATTCATATATATCAAAGTAAATTCAAATATCATTTTTTTTTTGATATACACGGTCGCTGATATGTATAAAAACGTAAGCTAGGGTAAATATTAGGAGTACCCTAATAGTTAAATAGTCTAGTTGCGAGTTAATAAATTTATGTAATAAAAATAAAAAAAAAAAAAAAAAATAAAGTTTTTTATTTTTAAATAGAACTTCCCTGTATAATTGCAAATCAATCCTTCCTCCACAATCTTGGCCGACTC